CAAAAGACAAGGCTGCTCAGGCTCTCAACCTTGACTCCATACAGAGGGGGCTTTAAGAAAACACGGATTTCTCTGCCCTCACACCAGAAGTTCTGATTTAATTGGTCTGGGGAGAGGCTCAAAGCATCCAGGGGCATCTACTATTGTAAAAGCTCCCCAAGGGATTCCAATGTGCCAGGGATGAAATCCATTAGGCTAATCAATTGTTCTTGTGAGCACTGCAGAGCTTGGGGGCTCCAAGCACAGCAACCCCTCCCCCTCCAGCTGCTTTCTTGAACCACCAGGAGGGAGAAGGGGCGGGGCCAAGACTCTGGCTGGCACAGATTAACATAAGATAGGAGTTAGAGCCTCATTCATTCATTAGTCAATAACATATTCAATAACTATTTAATATAAGTGTTGTCAATGAAATGATGGAACTGACTGGAGGATCTAGTTATTGGGCAGTCAGGCCTCTCTGAGGAGGTGACATTTAAATCGAGACCAGAGCAACAAGGAGAAACCTGCCGTATGAAGCTGCCATGACAAGCAGAGAACAGCAGGTGCAAAGGCCCTGGAAGGGAGCAAAGGGGTACGTGGCTGGAGAAAAAATGATGGAGGACATACCAATGGGATGAAGTTTGCGAGCTCGGCAGGGGTGCATATGGAGGGTCTTGGAACTGTGGTAAGGAAGTGGCTTCTGTTCTCAATTTGATAGGAAGCCCCAGAAGGTTTTCAGGACAGAACGACATGACCTGCTTTGTGTTTTTAAGAGACACTCTGGCTGTGATGGGGAGGGTAGCTGGTGGGGCATGGGTGGACACAGGTGAACAGTCCATCCCAGCGGGGTGGTGGGCACCCCTGTGCTCATACCCCAGAATGAGGATGTGTGCTCGGCTCCTCTGCTTTGGAGAATGTAGGTCAGGCAGCCCGGCTTCCTCCACCAAGCCACCAGTGCAGCCCCCTCGCCTGTCAGAGAAAAAAGCCGACTCTGAGATGCGTGGGCTCAACTGAGAGATCAGTGTTGGCAAGGAAGACAGAGATAATAGTCTTCCAGATGCAGGGATGTGGGCCGCTGACTGGGGTCCCTGTGTCTCCCTTCCCAGCGTGCCACTCCCCACCCCTCCGCCCCTTCAGGATCTCCCTGGCAGGCCAGCCAAGGGGCAGGCCCAGAGCAGGCAGCTGTATTTTAAGATGAGGGCTTAGACCTCTAAATAAACCATAAACACAGCCAGCTTCCCTGGTACAGAAGGAGGGAGACGGCTCCGTTTCTCTTCAGCGCAGTGACTGGGAAATAAACAAGTGGCTCTGCCTGTCACATACACTTAACCCTCTGCAAAGGCATGTGTCAGACCCACAGAGCTTCTGCCTTAGCTTTTCCAAGAAAAAACGGATGAGCCCCAAACTTGGGCTTCTCCTTGTGGCCTCCAACTTCACCATTCTGTTCAAGGAGAGGCAGGCATGGGGGCTTGTCCTTGACCCCAGGAGAAGCAAATAAAGGGCAGGCACAGACACTGAGCCCCTGAGTGGCTGGGGGCCCTCTCTGTCAGCTGTGAAAGGGGACAAGGGAGAGGGGGAGAGAAGGGAAGGGAGGGTAAATGAGAAGGAGGGTGGCAAGAGCAGGGCAAGGGCCGAGAGGGGCACAGAGTGATCCCTGTTAGAAGGGTGAAAGCCCCAGGGGCCTGGGCAGAGCCCTGGTGGTCGGTGGGTGGGGTGGCTCTGAGTGTGGGAGAAACAAAGAGAAACAGAAGGCAGAGGAGGTTCTCTCTCTCTCTATGGGAGAAATCTCCCACGACCACAAAGGAAGACGGAATGAGCAAGAACAAAAACCAGACGGGAACAGAAGGAGGAAGGCAGAGAAATAAAGCAGGGGAGAGAGGACAACCCAGAGTCATCAAACCCAAGCATTTTTGGGGTGGGGAGGGACCCTCTAAATGCAGCAGTAAAAGGTGATTTATGCATTGAGCTAAACCAGGAGAAGGATCAGGAGCAAGGCCAAGGGGACGGGAGTTGCTGGGAACGGTGGCCATGCAGCAGAAGCCACACAGACATATGATATGGCGTTGAAGCAGAAGGGGGGCTCTAAGCTTTGGGGTGGCCGGAAGCCAGTCAGTTAGAGGACAGGGGTGAAGGGCTAGAGAGAGCTACAAGACCCACAAAGACTGCCCCACAGGTGCTGCTGCTAAGGGCGCCTGCAGCATGGAGATCTCATAGCCAGCACCACCCCGAGGTGTGGGAGGGGTTTGAAAAAGAGTGAAAGAGGCAGCAATTGTTATGCACGCACACACACACACACACACACACACACACACACACACACACACACACCCTTCTCTAAATGCATCAGACAAGAGAAAGAAAACTTGTGTGGCCCTTACCAACTTATTCTCCCCTCCCACATGTGCCCACCTCCCTGGAAGCCCCTACACTTCCAGAGGCCTGTAGGGACATGGGTTTGGAACCCTCTCAGCAGGCAACAGACCTTTACACACTCCCACATACATGTCCAGAGGCAGGTGGCTGGCACAGGGATAGGTCCCTCTAAGTGAAGCCAGGCTTGGATCCAGGGAGCCCCACATGAAGCCAGATCAAGGGTCCTTGCCAAGCCCTCCAAGAAGCCCCAAAGCACTTGAGCTCCACAAAGCATCTGTCTAGTTGGGATGACATTGCCAGGGCCACATAAAGAAAGGGTGTATTTCCCACTATGGCTGTGGTGTATGTCCTGTGAGTCCAGAGCTCCACCACAAGAGCTTTCCCAGGACTTCTGACCAAGACCTGCGGCCCACCAGCTCCCTGAGAAGCTCACATGGTGCATCAGTTTTTGCAAATGAGGACCATGCAAAAGGGCTGAGAGACCAAGGAGAAGGGACTCCCCAGAAACATTTATCAGCTTGGGCCCTGCAGGCAGTGCCTTAAGGAGTAATCCCAGGAGACCAAGAGCTCAGATCTGGGCCACAAGTCTCCTGCGGAATGAGGACACAGGTACAAAGCACATCTACAGTGGACCCACACCTGACAGTACCCACTGTGTCAGCATACACACAGTTCTCGTCCTGTTGGACCCTGTCACTGTCCCACTCAATACTACACTGTATACAGCACACTGTAAACACAGCTCAAAGGCCCCTGCTGTGTACACACACCACACTGACGTGCCCTAGGTTCCCCTGTTCTGACACACTGCACACATCTTCCCACCCCTCCGAGGTCCCATTTTTATCAGCGCTGCACACACACACTGAAAAGTCCTACTGTCCTCAGACTACACGCACACCACCATCACTACCACCACAACCACCACACACACACACACACACACACATACACACACACACACACACACATTTCCCTGCTCCTTTCCAAAGCCCACACGCCACGCTGGCCTG